GTGGAAAACGATTTACATCACAACACATCACAGCCAACAGCAATAGCAACAGCATCATTCAACTCTTTGTAACATTGTTACATACATAGTTGGGCAAAGGAATTCTCTACACTACTATATAAGAGGAATAATGATGGTTGCCTATATACCCAGCTAGCATTTTCTTTCAAAAAAGGATCTTCCGCGATTGGAGGTGGCGATTAAATTAATCTTCCACGATATCGTATTCCAATTACGAAAGTTCAACGCAACGGGAGTAACTGTGTCACAGCCGCGACTCTTCTCTATGAATCGTCTACGATGTGTTAAAAAGAGTCTTGACACAATCGTCTTAATGAATCTTCTACGATGCGATAAACAGAATCTTTACACAATCGTCTTAATGAATCTTCTACGATGCGATAAACAGAATCTTTACAAAATCGTCTTAATGAATCTTCTACGATGCGATAAAAAGAATTATAGAAGAGTCTTGGAACGATCGTAAAGAAGATTTTAATTGATCCTAAAATGCCTAAAAATATGCTAAAAATAAAAAGTATTGATATTCGTTTTATACTGTTTATTGCATTGGCATTTTTTGTCAACTTTAAATAAAAAAAAAAATTAAATATAAATTTGAATTCAATTATGAAAATAAATACATACATATGAATAATGGAAATAATTATGCAATAGAAAAATTATTAAAAAATAAAGTTATTTTTCAGCCAAATCGTCAATTTTCTTGGCTTCATCAATCTTTTTGGTTCGGTCACTCTTTCTGAGACGGTCACCAGCATGAACAAAATGTTGTTGTAATACCTTATTTATACCTGCATCATCAGCTTTCGGAAATTTTGAATGGCAGACACCTTTAAAAAGAAAATAATTAGAATTCAGTAAAATCATGTTATAAAAAATACTTACTTGTTATAATTTTCGTTATATTGAATTCCTGAATACTGGGCTTACTGTTCGTTCCACGCCAACTCAATTTTGCAGCCACATCATCGCTCAGCATTTTTTAATTGCATTCCTGACAAACGAGTTGGAGCTGTCGCCACCCACTTTACCAATAACGTATTTCTGTAAAAATTTTGATATGAATATATGTATATATGTATGTTTATATTAAAAAATATGTATATAGACGGATAATTATATACATACCAATTGAGCTACAATATCCACGTTCTCTTCTATTTGTTTATGTAATTCTTCCAACTGTTTTACAGTTTTACTCGTTGACCACAGTTGTAGTTAACCCGTGTTTTACTGTCCAAAGTCTAATTTTCTCTTTCACACTTTCATTACTCGGCCAATTCACTTCTTCTATATATTCAACTGGAAAATTATCGCAAACGGATGATGTTTCAGTGAAATCCGATTCAACCAATTTTTCGAAAGAACTGACTTTCATTGGGACATCATCGCAATCAGATGTTTCCCTGCCTTTAACTTGTTTTTTGGATGATCCCACTTCATTATAAGCAGACTCCATCATTTTTTTTTGCTTCTCGTTTGCTTTTTAATCTTATTGCTTTATTTGATAGCATTATAAATTATTTTATATTATAAATTTAATTTTTGATTTCTAATAAAACACTTTTTAGTTAATACACTTAGTATTTATAAGAAACTTTATTAAAAATTAAATTTTTAATTTAATAAACTTCAAAAACCACTTTTTATTCTTACTTGTCTCGACACTGATTATAAACTGAGTTGAAAAGAAGACAAAATAATTTGTTTTTGCTAAACGTTTATACGTATAACGGTAAAATTCGCCCAACTATCTCCAGAATCCGTAATCGGCGATTGTTGCGTAATATAAATAAACCGGTTTGACAATAATATATGCATCATTTGGAAGAGTAAAATATGATCGTTGACTAACAACAATCCTCCGATGATCGCTAAAATACATAAGCGACGATTAATTCGTTCAACAATCGCCAAAATTACTCGCAAAAGCATCTTTTGGTACATTAAAATATATATTTTTTTAAATAATCGTCAGGACGATTATAAAACGAGTCACAAAATGAAACAATCGTCTGGAAGATTGAAAAAAGATTCACAAAATGAGGACAATCGTGTGGAAGATTAAAAAAATAGTCGCAAAATCATCGCGCTCGCCAATGAATCATGTAAATGCTAGCTGGGTAGAGGCATCCATCCTCTCCGTTGTTAAACAACGACTGACTGTTGTGTGTATGTGAAATTTATTTCTTTTTTTTTCCTTCACAGGCAATGAAGAGTAACGAATTGAGGAATTATTTTCCATTCGTTACAAAGAAAAAAGAAACTTAAAAAATTTAAAAGAATATACAGATTTTGGGAGTTAAGAATTAAGTAGAAAGAGTACAATAAAAAAAAAACTTAAACATTTATCAGATGTAAAAGAAGATTATGAGCGGATGACTACGACACTTTCATACAACACGTATTCGTTTACGGCGAGTACTATATACCAGCACAATAGTTTTATTATAATAAATAAGATTTAAGTTATTTTATGAATCTGATTGTAGGGATTTTAAATTTAAAATTAAATTTAACTTTGCTGGTGTATCAAAGAATTTGAAGTTGAATTTATAACATTTAAGAGATGTTTGGTGTCGGTGAAACCTTCAATAATGCTTCAAAACCCGATTTCAGCTGAATGAAGGATTTTTGCTTGGAATGTCGGAATAGTTGAGCGTGAAGGCCAGGTATTTACAGTTTTGAATGGCGAAGTTACTTATAGGTAGCGCTCGACATCCCCAGCGCTTCCACTTATAAAATCAGTTCGTCTTTAAAGTTAGTGAAGTTGTGTCCGCCTCTAAAATGGAGCATAATATATATCAGTGATATCTGCTCACATTCAGATAGTAGAGAGAGACTCAGTCGAGGACAAATGAAGCCAAGCACAAGATTTTTGTGGTTGTCGAATAACTCCTCTTGTTAAATCTGTCTCTTCTTTTAAATCTGTGGAGTTAGTATTGCTCTCTGACATAGAGTCCGAAATCACAGTGATATCTTTTCCCATTCGAAAAGCATTGATGCCCAGTTACAGGGCGACCAAAAAATGCTTTCTATACTATTGGAAACACAGGTCACTCAAGTAGGAGGAGGCTATGATCGAGAGGAGTAAATATTTTGCTACTCTGGCTAAGATGACAATGACAGATACTTTAAAGTTCATGGTATGGGAGAACCAATTTCTCAGGAAATCCCGAAAATATAGTGCAAAGTTCAAATGAATTTGTGATTTCGGGAAGGAAAAGATTATATCTGCATTAAGAACAATTCAAAATATAAACCTTATGCTTAGATAATGGGGAAAAGGCAGTACTTCGGTGATGTACCGAAACTGACGTTCATTTTTGCCGGGATAGTCGAGCACAGAGGAGAGGTTCTGATATGCAAGATCTTATGGGATTGACATGTGATTTCTGTGGGAAACCGATAACACTCAGAAGTTTGAAGAGTTCGGTTTGTTCTCTGATGTGGAGATGGAAAATATTTTGAAAGAATCTGAGTTTTTCTCGATAAGTCTTATCTCCGAAAACAGGAGGTGGATATTTGTCTATACAGCAATTCAAAATTGCGAAACAGATGGATGGATAGGAAACAAAATAACCTTAAGTGGGGTACTGAAACTTACAGGTATTGGACCGTTCTGATGTGCTAGGTGTAATGGGTTTCGTTTGTGAATCCAGTGGGGAAACTGATAACACCCAGAAGTTTCTGAAGTTGGGTTTGTTTCTTATGTGGAGTAAGGTGTTTCAGTGATATCTTCTCACAGTCGAACAATGCAGGGAACCCTTTCTACTAGTGACATTAAATATTCGTTTGCAGGTTGACTGTCAACCTCCATTTCGGAAGCCTACGTGATATTGAAAATTGTTGCTGAATGAAGAAGGTGAAGGATAGGAACGAATCAAGGAAACCTCCTAAGAGACATTTATTCTAAATTTGCCAAGAAAATTGTAGAAAATTCCTAGGCAATCAGATGAGAACTCTGGGTGTGTTGATTATCGGAAGGAATGGAAGTTTATGCCTAAATTGTTCAAATTTATTTAGTTCAAACTCTGGTTTTATAACACATTTAGTTTTACTGACTGAATTTTATATATTCCTCATGTGTTTTAAGACTTTCAAGAATCTCTAATATGAATTCTTGAAATTCAAGCTGTTCTCTGAATGCCATCAACATTTTAGATGTAATATTTATCGAACATGTTTTTTTAACTCTTTACCTTTTCTAAAAAAAATATTCCGAAATGAAATGTACCCAAATCTGTAAGTAATTAAAAGGTGTTGAATTATGAGGGTACATTTCAGTTTTATTTAATTACACGATACATGTTCCCGAAATTCGGTTATTTCAGAAATTAACTGATGATGCCCCACATATAGGACATTACTGTTTTTATTACGTTTCTTGTTTTTTATATTTATTATTGTTGTTTTTTATTATTCTTCTGCAGAAGAGGTAGATACAACGTTTATAGGTTCAGGTGGTGGTAATGTATGTATACGAAAATATACCTTTCGTAACTTAACGATTATTGTCGTTTTTTGATGATGTTGAGGTAGTTATTGTTGTTGTTGTTGTTCTTGGTAAAATACAGTATGCGCTTTAGGGATTAAGGCAGGAGAAATTTGAGAAATCACATTCAAAAGCGTTTTCATGCGGTTTAGAACAGCATGTTGACAATATTATTCTTGGTGATCAAACGGTTCTTAATAGATCAGGGACCGAATTACTGCATAAGTGATCATCTGAGATTTCGTAACGCAAACACATTTCGATATTAAAATAAAGCTAAAATCTACTAGATTTCATGTTCGATATTACAAGACATCATCTAAAAAATTAAAATTACGATCAATTTTACACGATCACTTGCAGTAATTCGGCACCAGGATTGATGTTCAAACAAAAAACATTACTTATTTGAGGATCTTTTTACTTTAAAGTTATTAATCTATCTGTTTCCTAATCTATATTATGTTTTGCTTCTTTTCAGAATTTTATGGAATTCTCCGATGACCTGGTAAGTTTTAGAACGATAAGCTACATTAAGGTGACAGAATTGTCAAATTTAATCAGGAATCATCTCCTTGAAGAATGAGTACTTGTGTAATAATACTTAAGTGTATCTGATCCCAATGTCGGTACTAATGTTTAGGGAAATTACATTCAAACTTTCCTACATTAAAATGACTTCTTCAGGATGACTATTCTATATCGAGACAATGTAAAGGACGGCTACGTAGTGTGATGTCCTATCCAGTTGTTCATCGATCGCAAAAGCCAAAAAGTATAGGACACATGTGTTCTAAGTTGAATATCTCAGATTCATTGATAAATGTGTAAAACGTTGTCTTGTAGTTCAAAGTTAATGATCATTAATCATAACGGTTTTGATTAAATTTATGCAAACGGTTGGGTTAATAATCACACAATCCTTCTGTCAAATCAATTGTGAAGTTTTGATCGAGAATTGTGTTGAATGCCGATAATGTCCCAGATAATATCCAAAATAATGACCGCTAGGACCGGTGCCGTTAACAATCAGAGAATATGTCTAATTTATGGCAGAATCAATATATTCGGATGACTGACTGTCAACCGTCCCTTTATCTTGGTGTTATTGCAATCCTGGAGGTAAAGTGGAGCTACAAATACCTCAAGTTTGTCGGAACTAGAAGCTGCAGTCATTAGTGGGAGTCTTTAGACTCAGTGTTTGATAAGAGAACCTCATATTGTGGTAATACGGGCGTCAGTTTCTCGCCGGACTTTGTCTTGTTCTGGGCAACTGTTGAGGTTCCTTCAGGGTACTCGAAGGGTCTGTGGCATTAACCCAAAATCGCGGGAAAAGAATGTTAAAAGTATAATAAAATAGAATAAAATGAGCTGATAATACAAAGATTGGGTATTGAAGTTGGATGAAGGTAGGATGATTGGAGTAACTGAAGAAAAAGGAGGGATGAAGTTTGAAGTTTGATGTTGGATGATATGACGGATCAGTGGCCCTTGATTGATGATCCATTATCTTTGTGTTTTCCTTCATGAGTGGAGTTTACTCTATACATGTCTGACTTTGCGCAAAGCAGTTCCTAGTTTTAAAGGAAAGAAATCTTGTTAATTAAAATGGATCCATACTTCGATCCACCAAATATGACTCTTGGTGTTGCAACGAAATCTTTATAAGGTTGAGAAATCTGCTTAAGTGAATCATTGGATTGGATGAGGTTGCTATGGCATCGCAACCACGTTGGAGTTCTGACTTTGCGCTTCAGATGCGATTGTTGGGGTTTGAGAAAACCTCTCTCTATTGATTTAACTAAGCAATTGTCTCCTGGACATTGGAATTTGTCTCATGTATGTATATCTGTCATTCAGTAAATTCAAGCAATTAGATAGCTCGAGTACCTGATTATTCATCTTTGAAGTCATTCAGTGCCGAGTTTTGGACCGTATCTTGTCTACCCAGTGGATGCAAATGGCCACCATGAGATAAGGTCATTAAGGCAGGCTACCACTCGGATAGAGAGTTACAATCTGAGCTTTATATATTTATCTCATGCAGACTAAAGGTCTATCCTTGCATCCTTGAAACCTGTTGTCCATTGGATAAACTTTTGCTGAAGAATGTGCGTAAGTTGGACTTTAGTCGAAGAACCTGTTGATGTCTAAGTCTCGCTGCCATAAGAATTTCAGTAGATATTCTTTCAGAGTAACAGTTTATGACAAGGGATAATGTAGTTCATGCTCTCAAGCTAAATGTGAACCTCTAGTAGCGCCTATTTGTTCCTTGAAGGGATTCAGTTGGTTGATCACTTTTAAACCTAGAAATAAGGAAACTATGATGTTAGACAATATAGGGGAAAGGCATTAAAAACTGGATGTCCTTTAAAGTATCTATCTGACAGGCGACCGAGAACTTAAATATGGAACCCCGACCCATCATGAATGTTTTATTTCATTTTCAATCGAATCCCATTGTTTTCTGGGTCCGATAACTTGACTGCCTTCTGGTTCTCTATTATACCGGACGGGAGGTATGAAATATCGCCGTCATTAGGTTCCAAATTAAGGGGGAAATTATAAAGAAGAGAAAGTATAAACGAAAATTTTATTTATTCGTAACTCTTCCTTAAGGAATGATACCTTTGGTCATAATTCCTTGTGTAGATACTGTAGTAGGTTTATTCCTGCACACACAGCATTTCAGATTTTTATTCTTTAAAGATATTTTATACCTTTTTCGTTTGTTGTTGTTGTTGTTTGTCTCCTGTACGTTTTTTGTATATTGTTACTGCTGTTGTTATTTCATTTAAACCATCACTTGAGGTGTGAAGAAAAGAATTCTTTTTTTTTTTTTAATTTTTTTCTAAATTGTTGTTTTTTCTCCTGTCCCTCTTCAGTTGCTGTTTCTGTTCTTGATACTCTGTTGGATTTTGTTTTTATTACCCAAGTTTGTTGTTGCTGTTTAGCATTGAATTTCCTCTACTGTTTTTTTGTTTTGTTTTTCTTGCTACAATTTCGTTCGAATGGTTCTTCTTATGTTGTTTCTCTGGATGTCAGACTCGTTGTTTGTTTGGCCGATTGGCCGGCTGTCTGTTAGACTGACTGTCTCTGTATTTGGGCTTTGAGTGTGTTTCGCAGTTGAAGTTAAAACATTAATCTTGATTTCTTTAAAAGATATGTTTTGTTATTGTTGTTTTTTCGTTTATATTTTCTTCTTCTTTCAGTTGTTTTTTTTTTTTTCTATATATTATTTTTTCTTTTCTTCTTCAATTGCTGCATATGAACGTAGGAACATGTAGAAATGTTTTGTACTGTTGTTGTTATTGTTACGGGATTGAAGTCTTTGATATGATTGTAGAAATCATATACGAGTACATACTTTTGTTGTTGTTAGATACATTTGATTTAATATTTTTTTCGTTTCGTTTTTTAAAAAAAAGTAGTAACGTGCAATAGTTATTGACCATTTTTAAGAGCGCCCTACCGCAGGTCAATATCGTTAAAATCTGTTATTTAAGGTTATAAATGTTAGAATTATATTTCCGGCTGTAATTAGAGCAAATGCTCCTAAAAGAGAATGTAAACAAAGATGGGGAGCAGGGATTTTCCTTCTTTTGTGGACGGTCGTTGACAATCATGTTGTTTTGGGATATTCTACCCGATCTAGCTTAACAGTTAACTTCTATTTGTGTACGGATTTTTGCAGTTTTAAATTTGGAGAATTTTGCTTTGAAACGTATCAATTGGCCCAGGAGTTCAAAACTAACCAATTACCGGTTCGGTTAACATTGAAATAACACTCTTAAGCCGAGCCAATGCAATACATACTTAAATTTGACGAACTTTTGATCAAAACATGGACCTGCCTTCTTAATGTTTTGTTGTCAAATCATGACGTCCAGTTCGGTACAAAATTTGGCAACACTCTTGCGTCAAATTAACACGCAAAACATCCCTGAGTATAAAATTTTGCGAAAGAAGCCAAATCAATACAACAAATAGGTATTTTTGATTGAAACTTGGACCTAAACCATAATGTTTGGTTGTCAAATCAGGACGTGCAGTTCGGTACACATTCTTGTAACAAATCAATATGGAAAACATCATCGTTGTCCATGAAATTTTATGATAGTTGGCTCCTTTCCATGCACGGAAGCTGGCAATTTTGCAGAACTAAATATGGAGAATATGGTTACGTGCAGGACTTATAGTTCATGACCATAAACCATAATGTTTTGTGATTATATTTAGACTGATATATGTTGTCAATACAAATTAAGACGAACGGTTCGGTATATAATCGGACACTCTTTTTGAAACAAATGAACATGGAAAATATCATAGGTATCCATGCAAAAGAACCCTAGATAATAGATGTCTATGAAAATTTTGTGAAAGAATATTGCTAGATCAAACTGAACTAGAATTTAAAAGTTCCGGATGTTTGTTCCTTGTTTGGGTACTAACTTATAGACATGACCCCGGTCGATTGGGAGCAATATTCCCAAATCAGTTTCTTGTATCCTGTCTGTACGTTTCTCGAGCAACGAAAACTATCAGGTTTCGGTCTTCAAAGCTCAAGAAATTGGGTTTCAGATTGAATTGGTTGTAAGCTTTACAAAGCCTTGTCCACTTTGAGTTTCTCTAAGTTGTAGTTCTAAGTTACAGTAATTAGGAGATGTAATTTTCCTAAATATCTGTGAATATTCCCTTTCTTATACACCGTAGTGCTCTAATCTTTGTTCTAAGAAATCTGGATTCGTTACCTCTGTATTAACTACCGTTTTCCATTATTATATAGAACAATTCCAATTCTTTTTTGAGCTGTCTTACAGAATGATGTGGTAAAAACCACTTGGGATTCGACCTGTTTCGATTTCTCTCTGTTGTTCAAAGCTGGCGTATACGAGGACTGATCCAGTGGATCCTGCACATACCTGCATATGTTTTCCTCGTATATACGAAGATCCTTCCTGACATGCCTCGGGGGAGCATCCAACTGTGTGATGTTAAAGTTGGAATGACTCCTCCGATGACATCCCAGGAGGAACTGTTTAGTCAACATGACATTGAGTTCCTTAACTGGAATGACTTTCGTTTCCTCACGCAGGTGATGTTCCGAGGTAATTGGTAGGCAGCCCGTTACAGTCCTTAGGGCGGCATTTTGGCATCTATAAAATGTGACCTCCACGATTTTTGGGTGGTGCACGGTCTGAATTTGGACTCCATCGACAACGATGCCAAGGGTTAGGTTTAATTCCTTCGTCCAGGTGGTAAAATTTTTTCTTGGCTAGCTACTTTAACATGTGCTTGTCCTAGGAGAAAGTCGATCTTCATCACCATAGATTACAAAGAGATAGTGAGAAAACTAGTCAAAAGAAGTCAATACGCGGGAATGAACCTTTCCGCTTAAGTTCTTTTTTTGTTTTAGATGACATGGGGACAGTAAAGTAAAGACTATCTTCGCTTTCGTTTACAAAAAGTACAAGAGGTATAAGAGCCCACAAGGTTGATATACAT